ATCCTCAGTAAAATTTGGTTTCCTTAGATATTCATCTGTAATGGTATGTAGAAAAGACCTTGGGACACTGGGCAAAGAGAAGCTGTCATGGGAACGATCAGATTAGAGGTAGCATAGACCAAAACTAAATAATGGGCAGGGCAAAAGGCTCAGAAGAGACCCTGCTTAATTTCTTTGACTGCAAAGGAGATAGTAGGGAAGACTGTACTTTCAGACTTGCAAGATTCTGTCAATATAGCTTTACAATAAACTAGAATTAGCTCATCTGATTATCTGATTCCAATCTAGTTTATCTAGGGAGGCTAACATCATCTATTTTCTCTGGAGAGATATCACTTCCTTTGTGCAAATCAGAATAATGTTGATGAATGCTTTTTGTATGGCTTCATTGTCCACTTATACAGTATCTCCCTCTTGTAATTCCAATATCATTTTCTTCTATAATTTATATCTAGACACTTCCCTGGTTTATATGCAAACTTAATTTTTTCCTGCTTTAGATAATCCATGCTTATTTCCATTTATCGTACTGCTAATATAATTAATTGTCATTTTAAAAGTTTAATTTATCAAGAAATATTTATCTTATCTAGAAATGCCTTTAATTCTTCTTTCTTCTATTTCATCCAAAGTAGGTTGGGTTTTTTCTTTTGACTTTTTTTAAAAAAATCATTATTGTGTTATATAAAATGATGTCTAATAAAATATTTACTCACATTGCAAAACATGTTTAAATCAGTGTCTTTATTAAAATTGTTTTTACATTATTTTTTATTTCTTTTTTCAATTCTCCACTATTGCTTCTTTCTGTAGCAACATTTTGCTTAATCTCCATCTAAAAGAACTATATTTTCTTTTATAAACCAAACACATTTGAAAAACTTTCTGAAGTCTTACATCAAGCTAAATCCCAAAATGCTAGGGAATTCCTGAAGCATTCAGATAAATTACTCATCAATATACACATATACAATGTAAGCATATTTACAAATCATTCAAAAGAAACATAAGAGCTAAGAAAGAAACGGAAAGACCAAAACACATGATTTCCAACAGCCGGCACCCAGATAATCCGGTATTAATAACAGGCAAACAAGCTAGCAGAAACCAATATCCTAATCAAGGAACTACCCAGAAGAAAACACATGGCAATTACTGTATATAAACAGAAAATAAAATTTACACTTTCAGTTACTGATGATGTTACCTAGTTGGATAATGAAATATCTGCAAGCAAACAATCAAGTTCAGAGCGCATCAAGGACTCTACAGTCCAATGCTAAACCTTATATTTCTTCTATTGGAAACAATAACAATTGTAGATCAAAAAGCATATAACAGAGATGCAAAAAGCATGGACTAGAAACTACATAAGGCCCAACAACATCCTTGTTAAAACCTGAATGAGAATAACTTTTGTAATTAAATGACTTAAGCCTTAAAGAACCTCTATTATTCATTTTATCTCCAGAATGGGTCCTGACATGGCCTATTTTTGGAATGTAGACTTTGATATAATGCACAAAGTCTGACTTGGCACTCAAAAAAAGTTAATTTTATGAGATATGACTAGGGATTCATTTGGAGCTGATTTTCTACAAAAATCTACCATGCTGATTGTATTGCATTCTGATACATTAAACAACTCAAGAAGCTTGGTAAATTTTGAAAAATTTTGGCAATAGCCAAAAAAGCCAAAATAATCTGAGACTGCATTAACAGAGGGATAGAATCAAGATCACTTGAAGTACTAGTATCACTTTATAAAGACTTGGTAAGATCACACTTAGAATACTGCATCCAATTTTGGGTATAATCAGTGGTGGGATTCACTTTTTTTTAACTACTGGTTCTGTAGGCATGGCTTGGAGGGCGTGGCTTGGTGGGTGTGGCTTGGTAGGTCATGTGACTGAGTGGGTGTGGCCAACTTGACATCACTCACAGCAAGGTGGGGGGCCTCTATTGGGCTGTCTGTGCCATGCTCGATCAGGATGGGGGAAGCAAAAAGCCTACTCGGCTACTCACCAGCACAACGGCAAATCTCTCTTCCAGTTTGCCGATTTGGGCACTGGAAGCTTGAGGAGCAGATTTGTTTGCCCTGAAGTCCATCTGCTGTTCTTCCAAGCCCGTCTCTGGCTGTGCTGAACATCGGCCAATTTTCTTCCAATTCAGGGAATACCAGGAGCGGCAGCATATATATTGCATGCTTTTCACTCCAAACAGCCCAGACTGGAAAACACATGGCTGGGGTGGAGTCCTTCTTAACAAGTCCTTCTTAACAAGCTCCAAACTGTTGCTGCTGCTGCAAGCCCAGCTCTGGCTGCAGGCATGCGATTGTGAGGGCAGTCAGGACAGGCTTTTCCAAGGCTGATCACAGAAGGAAACAATGAGTACCAGACTTCCAGCACTCGTGCAGAGAACCCAGGCTTGCAGCAACAGTTTGGAGCTTGTTAAGAAGAAGGGCTTGGCTGCCTCTGCACAGGACTGGTCAGTGGGCAGCATTGAAGTACCTTAAAGGGACAGGCTGCTGCAGCTGCCTTCCAAGCAGCTTCACTGTGAAGGGAGGCAGGAAAAGTTCTGCCAAGTTGCCTCCTCCTTTTCGGGCTCAAACATACACACATAGCAAACATGCACACATCTCACGGCACTGGAGGGACTCACGCCATGAGATGCGCCGTTTCCTTGTAGAAGGTCCCGGTGCCATCAGATGTGTGCATGTTTCCTCTGTCTGTATGTTTGTGGCCAAGAAGGAGAAGACTTGGCTGAACTTTTCTGCCTTTCTCTCTTCTGACACTGGCCAGGCAGGTGAGTAGTGTTGCATGGGGCAAGTGTCCTCCCAGCCAACATTGCCATGCAGCTTCCTAGCCAGGCAGGTGAGCCTCTTCCTGGATAATGTGGCCATGCAGCTGGGGCTGGGAAACTGCATGGCTGCACTGGCTAGGAGAATGGTCTCCCCCCCTGCATGGCTGCACTGGCTGCATAGCCACGTTAGCCAGGAAGAGGCTCGCCAGCCTGGACGGGAAGCTGCATTGTCGCACTCCCACAGCACAGCCATGCACCTTCCCAGCCAGGTGGGCAAGCGTCCTCCTTGCCAGCATGGCCATGCGGCTTCTCAGCCAGCATTCAGAGGCAAGCGGGAAGATCCAGGATGTGTTGTGGCCCACCAGCGGCCAGCGGAGCTGGCAGCAGAGTCAGACAGTGAGGAGTTTGGGGAGGAACTTGGCCATTCCTGGGGACCGGGGAGTGCTCGGATGAGGGCTCTGCATCGGAGGCAGAGAGGGGGCCAAGGCCATCTGATAGTTATGTGCTGCCTCCAGAGTCTCCAGAGTCTGACATCAGTGAGGCAGAAGAACAGCAGGAGCTGTTCCCAGTGTGCGCATGTGCAGAACTGCCAGAAGACAAGAACAATTAAGAAAACAGGGCTGACTTGGGAATAAGGCTTGGAGATGATTTCCCCTCCCATAAGACATAAAAGACGTGAGCTTTTGCAGGAAGCAATTAGTTCATCTGGTCGAGTCAAGCTTTGAAAAGTTCTGTTTGACTCTGTGCCAAGTTTGGCCTTGCCTGACATTTGGCAATTAGTTCTCTGGCAGCATTCCAAGGGAGATAAACCTTTTTCCTGAAAGACTGTTTGTGAAGCCTTGCAGACTGTGAATGACAATAATTAACAGTTGTGTAAATAAAAGAGATTTTGCCAGGACTAAGATTGTGCTTTATACTTTCTAAGGAAGCCTAGGTCAGAACAGGAAGCTCCTGGAAACACAGAAACCACCAGGAAGCGCGGGAAGCGCTGGGAACAGTGGGAAGGTGTGGGAAGCATTAGGAAGTGCTGGGAAGCTCTGGGAAGCATGGGAAGCAGCGCTGGAGGCTGAGGATGGGGGACAGGGGAGAGTCTAGCTAGGCTGCCGCCAGCACCTCCACCATCAGAGCTGCGTCAGTGGCTTAGTCAGCTAGGCAAGCCCGGGGATGGTGGGTGGGCACCTATCTAGGCCACAGCCAGTGCTGCCACCTGGAATGGAGCTGCGCTGATGGCTAAGCCACCCAGGCAAGCTCTGGGGATGGTAGGGGAGAGCTATGGCAACCACCAGGGATGGTGGGGGAGAGCTAACGTGACTCGCAGGCTTAACTGTAAGCAGGCAGATCAGGGCGCTCAGTTGGGGCGCAGGCACTGCGTGAAAGTCAACTTAGGCAGGCAAGCCACAGAGCAAAGACTGTGCGCATGTGCAAGCGAGGACCCAGTGTGCCACATAGGAGGTGAGGAATGACTGGGTGGGGCAGGGTGAGTAGGTGAGCAGCGGGTGGGCGGGCGGGCAGGCGGGCAGGGCCAAGGTCAGCCAGAGGTGGTATTTGCCGGTTCTACGAACCAGGTAAAATTTCCACTACCAGTTCGCCCGAACCCATCTGAACCGGCTGAATACCATGTCATATTACAAAAAAGATGCTGAGACTCTGGAAAGAGTGCAGAAAAGAGCAACAAAGATGATTAGAAGGCTGGAGGCTAAAACATATGAAGAATGGTTGCAGAAATAGGGTATTTCTAGCCTGGTGAAAAGGACTAGTGGTGACATCATAGCAGTGTTCTAACATTTGAGAGGCTGCCATAAAGAAGTGGGGAGGGGGTGTCAATCTACTTTCCAAAGTACCAGAATGCAAGATAAGAAACAATGGATAGAAACTAATCAAAGAGAGCAGCAACGTAGAACTAAGGAGAATTTTTCTAACAGTGAGAAAGAACAATTAACTAGTGAAACAGCTTGCTCTCAAAATTTGTGGGTGGTCCATTATGGGAGGCTTTTACAAAGATACTGGACATTTGTCCGGGATATTATAGGGTCTCTTAGGGATTGGATTCCGAGGTCTCTTCCAATTCAGTTAATCTTTATATTTCTTGGGTTTTAGTAATTACCTTCAATATCTTCCACTCAATTTTCTTAGCACAATCTGAAATTTACTTTGAAACTCATTTGTTTTTCTTTTTCCTTCTTTGTTTTATTTACTAGTTCTCATCATATTGATTCTATTAGAGATGATGAAGAGGAAGATTTGCCATTCACTGTGTCAGCGTTCCGAATAATGCAACCATTGAAAGCAGTACTCCAAGGCAGGTAGATTCCTCAAAGAACATCTTTATTGGCAACGTTGTGTTGGCACAGCAGCTGAAAACCAATTCTAGCATTTTCCATGGTTTTCACCTAATTAAATAAGTAAAATCCCCACTCCCAGGTGTCACCGGTCACATTGTCCAATTAGGATGGATGGCAAGCTTGTCTCCTTCAACAGCCACCTGTTACAATGACCTTGATTCCCACAGGAAAACTTTTGGTTTTGACTGCAGGCCGGGCTATCTACTTTCCCCCCTCCCTTCCTCCTCTCAGGCTTTGTGGCAACTATGAAGTGGCACAAGATGGCTTCAGCCAGGTTTGCTTGATGAATACACTTAAATGTGTTTGAAATATGACATCTCATAGACTCAATATACGACCACTGGGTAATCATCTTGTAATGTGATCTGGGATTCAGTTCACTCTGTAGATTAGCATGAAACTGTTATTTAAATTCATGCCCTTCTAGCTTCCTCATAAGCTTGGTATGTGAGGAGATAGGTCCAGGAAGTAAGTCTATTTATGTAATGGATTTGTACTGGATTCATATTCAGTGTCTTTATGGAGTAGGACATACATATTACCCCTTTTGAAGAGACCTTTCCTCAATCCAGATATTTGGACAACTACTGCCCTGTCTCCAATCTTCTACCTGTGTTTTCCCAAAAATAAGACCAGGTCTTATTTTCTTTTGGGCCCCACAATAAGCATTTGGGCTTATTTTCAGGGGGTGTCTTAATTTATTTTCCACATATGGGAGGCCCACTTCTTCTGCTTGCTTGGGGCGGGGCAGGAGGTCATGTGGTGTGCCAGTGTCATTGTCACAAGGTGGGGGAGGTGCAGCTTCCCCATACACCTCCCACTGGCTTACATCAGGGCCCCTGCAGTCATGTCATCCACACCCCGACACCTGCCTCACCTCATGGCCATGGCACTAGCACACAGTTCAGCCTCCTGTTTCATTGTGGCTGTGAGCGAGCAGAAGAATTGAGCTGGCGGCGACATAGGCTCCTGCTGCAAATGGCTGCTGGTGCTGCTGCCATGAGGCATGTGTCGGGGCATGGATGGACTGGCTGCGAGGGCCCCAAAATATGATGCTGCAGGGTGCTTGGGGCAACTCCACCACCACCCCATGGCACTGTGAGAAACCAAACAGAATGGGCGGCTGGGGGACTGTGCAGGACTTATTTTGGTGGTAGGGCTTATATTAGGTATACGTGTAAAAACATGCTACGGGATAGGTCTTATTTTCAGGGAAATAGGATTTACGAAGAATTCTTTAGAAAACAGGGCTATTTCAGCCGCAAAGTACTCTAGAAGAAGTAGATTATCTGGATACTTTCGGTAAGACTTTCTAGAAATAGTACACCATTAAGCTTTTGTAAATAACTTTAAGTAGGACCTAGATAATGGGACATCTCCAGATCTCTTTCTTAGCAATGTTAAATATTATGGACACTGATATCCTTGTAGACTGCCTGAAAGGGTTATGAGTAGGAAGCAGTATTCCTTCCTAATTTAATAGTATCGGCCATTATTGAAATGGAAAGAGAGACTAATAGGATGTGAAAGATTCACTTATACTTTTTAAACATCTACCATACTTTTTGGAGTATAAGATACACTTTCCCTAAAAGATACACTTTCCTCCCTAAAAGTGGGTGAAAAATGTGGTGCGTCTTATACACGGAATGTTGCGAAGCCCTGCCCACCCACCACTCCCCCCCTTTGGCCATTTTTGGCCTCCACACATCACATTTTCAGCGTCTGCACATCCCATTTTAGACCTGTTTTAGGCTGCAGGGATTGCCACAGAACTTTGCTGCCGATCTTCATGTGATTTCAGCCTTCGTGTGTCGTATTTTCAGCCTCGATGCGCCACATTTTCAGCCTCCAGCATCACATTTTCAGCCAGTTCCAGGTGGCAGGGACCAGGTGGCAATCTCCGCTGCCTGAAACCGGCCAAAAATGTGACGTGCAGAGGCCAAAGATGTGGCGTGTGGAGGCCGAAAACATGATGCGTGGAGGCCGAAAATATGATGCACAAAGGCGGTGATTGGCAGCAATGTGGTGTGGTGATCCCCGCAGCCTAAAACAGGTCTAAAACAGAGTGTGTGAAGATCAAATATGCGATGTGCTGAGGCCAGAAACGAAACACACGGAGCTGGCGATGTGCTCTGGCAATTCCCACAGCCTGGAACAGCTGATAGGGGTATTCTGGGAGGCTGATCAAACCGCCAATCAGCTGTTCATGCTAAATCATGCTGCGATAACATGCTGAACCTTATCAGGCTGTTTGCTGTTTGCTGCAAGGATGCTAGCCAGATGAATACAGATGGATACTGGTAGACAGAGGCAGATTTTTTTTCTTGTTTTCCTCCCCAAAAACTAATGTGCTCCAGAGCATCTTATATTCAGAAAAATACGGTATATGAAACTTATTTTCATCATTTTAAGTTGAAGTTTCTTTATATGGTGAATATAATTAGCTTTATATCTCCATCTTGCCTTCCAGAAACTGGAAAGCGGTTTGACCCAATATCTGACTGAACTCAAACAGATGGGAGTTACTGTTTTCAAGGAAATATATGGCTTTTTGGTTGCTATGATGCCACATGTTGGACGTGGCACCAGATGCCATATGTTGATGCGGCATCAATCCATATGAAAAAGCAGATACATAACTTGGGAATCAAACTACTTTTTATTTATGCAATTAATACTAGTGTTTATTTTTCAGCCACACCACTCCAAATGGACTCTGGATAGCGAACAATTAAACAACATAATTAAAATGAACAATTAGTACAATAAAATTCTATTATGGCATTATATGTAGCATGTTATTGCAAATGAAACCATATTGAAAATTTGTCACCCAAATTTTTATATGAATCTCAAATTTCTGCACACCATGGTATTCCATCTGAGAATATTAGATATTAATAAAATCTTCAAAACTGTAGTAGGGGTCTATCATCAATGTGGCCTGTCTCTCAAATGCCCTTTGGGGAAGAAGATCTTTCATCTCATCTAATAAATTACCATATTTCTATGGATAAGTGTTACATTTCACTTATCAGATTCTGTTGTTGTCTATACCATTTCCATTAAATTCAAGAGATTTGACTCAAGTTCTGATGTGAGAAATTCATGCTGGTTAAAAAAAGTAAAATTGATTTTTATATCATTGATTTCCCTCCCCTCCTGGATATTTATAGTGCTAATAAATCAGAACATACTTTTCAACATGAGCAAGAATTGTTTCCTATACCACTGCCCAGAATTAGAATTAATTCTCCATTGGATTAAAGATGTATTGCTAGATTAGAGTCTTACTGATGGCAACATAATATATCCTCCCAAAGGTTTAAATTAAAAAAAATTCCATTAATTATAGCCAATGTTGTTACTATATAATCTAAATTTAGTATCTACAGCATCACAATAATATTATTAATGAAGAACTGAAATTTGTCCTGAAACAAATTTTTGAATTTGAAAATATATATCTCACACCGATGTTCATTTTAGAGTTGCTTATGTCTTTAAATTTTCTCCATTGAAATATGTAAAAAGTGTTTTCAGTTGAATCATGTTCCACCCTCAATGCTAATATTTACGAGTCACGTTAGAAACAAAAACAGACAGTCCATCCCAAGTCAAGTAACTTGTTATATTTAGCCACACTGTAGATATATTGTCCTTTAAATTAACTGTGATGCAGCATTCAATTCTTCAGAATCAAGTTTCTTTGAACAGTTCTACACAACTAAATGTGGATATGTTACCTTAATGTAGATATGTAAGTAAATCTGACTTGATGTGTAGCATTTATTTTTTCCTTTTGTGGTAAACAAAATGCATGAATATTAACTATACAGACAATACTTCACTAGTTTGTCAAATCCTGCAAGTTTTTATCTGTATGGATTAGCTTCCAGTTGGAAATACCTGGGGATAGTCTGTAATTAAATTAAAATGATGAAAATGGAAAAAGACTGAAACAAATTGAACAAAATGATTATTTTATGCCAAAATAAAAGCCTAAAGTTTTAATTGAATTTTACTGTTCCAAAATTAGTAGAAAATATAATTCATTTTTACAACTGATTTCTGTCTCTTAGGACAGCAATTAACATATTAAAACTCACAAAAGAATCAGTATTACCCATTGACTAGGAATGGTGACTTCAACACAATATTCATTGGCAATCCTTTCCCTAAGAAATATAGCATTTTTAATAATGGTACTCATTAATAACAATTGTTCTCAGAAGCAAACATGAAATTAACAATATTATGTGTGCACTGTTACTTATTATTTAAATAGCTTAACCCAAAATATCAAGGTTGATAACAACAAAATATGTATACAAAATGTTAAAAATGTTGTGCGTTGATGTGCATGTAAGCTTGTGCATGTGTTCAATTATTCAGACATACATAAACAAGCATATCTCTTCTATATGAATACAATTTATCAAAAGGAAGCTATTGAATAGAGATTAACTGAAGCAGTGTGTGTGTGTGTGTGTGTGTGTGTGTGTGTGTGTGTGTTTGTGTGTTCAGAATGAAAGGAAAAATGTCTTTGTAACTCATTAACAAAAACTCTAAGAACAGCTAGAATATTAAACATAGATACAAACAAGCTAGATACAGAATGTGGGTGATGGGGACTGGAACTATCCAGGGTCCTGAACGTTTGCCATTCTCTCTCTCTCTCTCTCTCTCTCTCTCTCTCTCTCTCTCTCTCTCTCTCTCTCCTCTCTCTCCCCCTCCCTCCCTCCCTCCCTCCCTCCCTCTCTCTCCCCCCACTCCTCCACTGCCGTAATAAACCCATTCATTAAGCAGACGGATATGGACTTCATTCAGACCTCCGACAACAGCTGTCTAGCCAATATAAAACCTAGTTTCTAAGAATTAATCTTTTAAGAGATTTTGATTTAAAAAAAATCAAATCCGCAATTCAAATGTGCTTGTTTGTCCGTCTCCCATACCCAATATACCATACTTAGAGGCAGATTAAACGCTCTAAAACCGGTGCTCAGGTGGGCGATGGGAGGTTAGGAAAAACGGGGAGGGGACCTAGCTTGGATCGTAGTTTCTTTTGTGTATGCCAACGCTTCTAAGCACGCAAAGAGAATGAAGATAATAAGAAAGCCCTTACAAATAAATAATAAAGTTTGATCCAAGCTATTTCCCGACTATTTCATGGATCTCTTTTCCAAACCATAATTGGATCCTGGGCTAGAGGCAGCAGGATACTTCTTTTCCTGTACCACGAGAAGCTTCCCGCCTCTGATAAGGAGATAAGGCTTCCCTGGGTGAGACTTACGTGTGCCGTCAAACCTAGTCGCGATCGTGTCCAAGAAGGTATTTTGAGGTGCCAGTAATCCTTTCATAACAGGCATTTTTACAGCACAGTATGAAATTCTCCATCAAAGTTTGCCTGGAAAGAATGGTTTGTCGGAGGTGGGCAGAGGAGGAGGAGGAGGAGGAGCACCGCGGACTTTCCGGCATCGGGAATGGGTGCCACTTTTCGCTGCTGCCGCTCCTGCCGACTTTAGCGAAGCCGAGAAAGCGCCCGGCTTACCAACGCCGCGAACACGCTTGCGCGCGCGCTCAAACTAGCCACCGCCCCCTACTTCGCCCCCGCTTTGCCCTGAGTACCCCTAGCTCTTGGGATCAGACGCTCCGGGCGACATCTGGAGAAGCCGCACGCTCTGCATTGCCGGGATACTCATTGCCTGTAACCAGAGAAAGAAATGCGTTTTGGCGGGAGGGAGAAATGGCGGGCGTTAAAAGCCTCTTTGGTTGAGGAGCGAGAGCACTAAAAGAGGGAGCCTGTAGAGGAAACATCCCCCTACCAGCATCCACTATTTTATTTACATTTATAATAATTAACAATTCGCAATAGAGTAGGGAATATATTGTAGGGCCATAGATATAACTGTATTTAATTAAATTATATAGGAATCTGGAATAGGATAGTAGACAGTCCTTATGCCTTCGTTGATAGTTCCTTCATTGTTGCCCCTAGACAAGTAGTATAAGACCCTGGCAAAAAGGAAAGGATTTGAATATTTCCAGATGGTGCCAAATAGGTTGGGGGAAAAATCACACTAATAAAAGAGTCTCCCCCCTTAAAAATCACATAGATTTTTCCTTCATTTTTAATTGTGGGAGAATCATCTTCCATGAAGATAATGGAAAACATTTTTCTGTCTAAAGCTGTCAATACATTTAAGCACTAGAAGACAAGACAAGAAATAATGGATGGAAACTAATCAAAGAGAGAAGCAACCTGGAATTAAGGAGAAACTTCCTAACAGTGAGGATAATTAACCAATGGAACAGCTGCCTCCAGAAGTTCTAGGTGCTTCATCACTGGAGGTTTTTAAGAAAAGATTGGACAGCCACCTAGAGTCTTCTCCTTGAGCAGGGGGTTAGAGTAGAAGACCTCCATGTTCCTGTCCAGGTCTATTTGGATTCTTAATACTGTACACCACCCCACCCAAATTTGGTGTTTAGAACCCAAAGACCAGTCATCTTATTTTGATACCAATGGCCTAAAACTCTACCAAAGGCTTTCTTCTCTCCCCTGCCATCGCAATTCAATAATAAATATTTCATTGCATTTTGGATAAATAAGTACTTTATTTATTCAGACTTTAACTGTCTACATACATAGTAGAGCTACTGAGCATATACAGAATACATTTTCATTGTTACAATTATCACCATCCTACTTTTCTCATCTAGTCCATTTGCAGTGCCAGGATTCAGACTTCATTCATGCAAATTTATCTCTACCTCAACCTATTTCTGTCAAATTTCATAACTGCCAATCTCCCAGGAACTCAGAGCTGTGTACAGGTAAAATTATGCCTAAATAAGAAAGCATGCCAAAGTGTAGTCAAAATATGAGGCCCTTCTCACAATTTCTTAGTTTAATATATAATTGCACCTTGATTAAATAGTAAAATTGTTTGTTTTTTAAAACCAAATGGTAAATGGGATTTTTGGAGCCCCAAAACACATTTGAATATGAAAAAATACTGATAACAATGAAATCCATTTCAAGAAGAAACATGACCTTATTCAGACTGATTTTGTGTATTCAAATTTCCTAAACCAAGTCTGCTACTCAAAGCTTTACTAAATTTGAAATTTTGTATCTGGAAAGAAGTCCCATATTCTCTTTGGGAGGACAGGAGAGCAATATTATTTATTTATTAAATTTATATCTCAGATTATATATCCCAACTAAACATCAAAATAAGCACAATAAATATCAACCAGTAACATACTACCGGTAATATAAATGATAAATAAGAATACATCATGTGTTTTTTGAGTATCTGTCCATAGTCTCTTAGATTAGGTAACAAAACTTCTATTTTTCTACCTTTCTTGGATTTTTACACACTCATGTAGATTCATAAGATAGCTTTGCAGTTGGCTTTTATGAATGTTTACTTGGCAGTATGTCTCAGTGAGTTCAGTGAGATTTATTCTTCAAAACATTAGCAAAGAGTTACAGTTTGATGGATCAATCTTATGTATCCCAGGGTCGGTTCTACTTACTTTTACTACCAGTTTGCAGCGGGAGCGCATATGCACGCTTGCTTTTCTCGCTCATGTGCACTTCTGCACATGTGCAGAGCATGCTCAGATGACCCATGATGACGTTGTGGCAGGTGGGCAGAGCCTCCTGCTGGTTTACTATTGGTTCTATAGAACCAGACAGAACCGGGAGCAACCCACCACTGATGTATACACAATAATATCTAGATTTAGTCTCATGTTCTGCAAGATTGTGAAGT